GAGAAAGAAAAGGGGAAAGCTTTAGGTTGATTAATTACCAAAAAATGACGATCACTAGGTACCTTGCAGAAATAAGTGAAGCAAAACGGTTATCAACTGACTCATGAAGCGTCTCAAAACAAGGCCATTACTGAACCAAGTGGAGGCTATCAAACCTGTCAAAGCAGCATCAGGCATTTATACCGAAACCTAAGTTGCGCACTGACTGACTGTATTGTCTGCATCAAAGTAAATCGAGTGAATCAAGATACTCTTTTCAGAAGGTGCTCAGCTTTGAATGTCCGAAGATCAATGAATTATTGGGTCATGAGGTTCCTTCGGCATTATGAGTTTGAATCAACCCGGACATCCCACCTGAATACGTCTCAGTCCAGGCGTACCATATTCCGGATCAGCCTCCCTTTCTGCCTTTTCTCTTGTTGAGCCTCATCTTTTCTCCCTTGTCTCGTCCAGGCTCCCACGAGGCATCTTCCCTGCTGACGTGGCAGAGTTCAACTCATCTTTGATTCGCCTTTTTATCTGCAATACGACGTCAGACAATCCCGCTCCAGAAGGTGAATCAAAGGCCTCAAATCTGAACAAAACGGACTAGATCAGCCTTTTGTTAACGTGAGGCTTATAAAATCAAGCAATTCACTTCCTCGTGCTCTTCTCGGCATGCACCTATTGCTCTAGTTCTGACTGTTGTAAATGGCCCCCAACTCGCTGCTTTTAGGGTAGGTCGCTTGACTGCAGCGACGAACGATTTCAGCCTTATTTCTCATAACAAACCATCGGTTTCGGCCGATATCTGCAATCATCAGCGAATAATAGCTTACATCGCTTCTTTGAACACTGCCACTTACAAAGAGCCTCTCTTTCAACCCGTGATTGTCCATGTCATCAACCTATCAGATCTCAAAGAACCCATCATCTTTCGACGTCTCCAGTCATTGTCCTTTGTTGCCTAATCAGCTGTAACGCTTCCTGCTGCACTTCACCCTCCCTTTCAACCACCTCTTCTGACACAGCCTTGTTCACGATGCATATTGTAACCGACTCGGTACGGGTAGAGAGCGTAAAGCGGCGGCTTACAGGCCAAGATACATGCACTGCACTTTCAGTATACTTTGCGCAATCCCATGTGCAACACGGCGATGCTGCTGTTACCTGGTGATCATCAGCCAAACAGGTCACTGCGTCTCTGACAAAGGCGTCCAATCGATCTTTACAAAGAAGAAGCCTTGAGAGGCTATATAGGGACCCCAATGTTTCCAATGCACTTTAGACATTTCAACTCTTGAAAATTAATTCTTGATCATGAAGCCAACTCCTCCTACTCCTGGCCAGCAGCCGACTCCTGCTAAGCCAAAGCGTAAACCCTTGAACCCTCAAGCTCTTGTTTCTAAGTTCTGGTCAAAGTATCACTCCAAGGCACCAGGCAAGGTCACTTCCATCTTCCCTCAAAGCCTCTATGAGTCACTTCTTACAGACGCCGACTCATCTTATCCCAAGTCTCGCAATGCAGCACAGAGCTATGAAGATGCTGCCAAAGAATGCCGTGCTCGAGTTAGAGCCATTGTTCGGGAATGTGAACGAACCAATGCCAAATTCAGCGACCCAGACTTTGATATAGAGACCGACTTTTCGTCTTACCAAGATAATTGTCTCAATGGTTTAATGGGAAGACGCTATGAGGAGGACAGCAGTGATGATGAACCACTGTCGTCTGGAAAGGGACCTAATATTCAGCGAATGAAGAGATATCGCAACACGCGGAAGAACAGCGACGAGCTAGAGGACGATAAACTTGACGTCAACAAGAACAACCTGCAAAGACGCATGTTCAACGGCAGGGACTATGGTTCTCGATACTCCAGACCAGGTTCAGTCCATCGCATTCCATGGATCTTCGAAAATCCTCAGTTTACAGTTGGCGGCTTCTCCAGCGCAGATATCAAGCAAGGTGCTGGTGGCGACTGCTGGTGGCTGGCTGCTCTCGCAACTATCGCTCATCGCAAAGACTTAATGAAGAAGATTTGTGTCGCAAAGGATGAAGAATGTGGTGTCTACGGCTTCGTCTTTAACCGCGATGGAGAGTGGATCTCGACTGTGGTTGACGATAATCTCTACTTGAAGCACAAGGACTTTGGAGAAGATAGTGAGGTCTACGATGCGACGGGTAAGAAAGCTCGACTCTATAAGAAGCAGAAGCAAACTGGTTCCGAGTCCTTGTACTTTGCCAAGTGCGAGGACCCCAACGAAACTTGGCTCACCTTGCTTGAGAAAGCTGTAAGTTATCCCCTGTATTTATAAGATGAGATCTGACAATTCTAGTTTGCCAAGGTTCATGGTGACTATCATGCTCTGGATGGTGGGTGGTCCGGCACTGCAGTCGAAGACCTCACAGGAGGTGTCAATACTGTGGTCGCTGGTAACAGAGTCCTCCGCAAGGAGAGATTGTGGCGTGAGATGTTGGGATCTGACGGCGAGGATGGAGAATTCGTGTTTGGTTTGTCTGCTGGTGGTCCAGGCGAGGACCATAACAACGGAATTGTGTTGCGACATGCATACTCGATTCTCAAAGTGGCCGAAGTTGAAGATGAAGATGGCAATAAAGTTCGCTTGGTCAAGATTCGGTAAATATGACTTGCAGTTTTGGCTTGGCTTGGCTCAGACAACTGACACATACAGAAACCCCTGGGGACAGAAATCTGAAGATGGCCATGGCGAGTGGCATGGCCCATGGTCAGATGGCTCCAAGCAATGGACTCCTCATATGATTAGAAAGCTTCAGCATCAGTTTGGCGACGACGGAATCTTCTGGATGTCTTTCAGCGACATGCTCGATAACTTCAAGTGGATGTATAGGACTCGTCTTTTCGATGAGCGATGGACAGTGGCTCAACAATGGACAAGTGTTAGCATCTCCTGGCTTACCGGCTATCTTAAGAAGAAGTTTATAGTCGAGGTCAAAGAAGAGGGCATGGTGGTTATTGTCCTCTCACAGGTATGTTGATAATTAGTGAAATTAACTCATACTGACAGTCTCAGCTTGATGAACGCTACTTCACAGACTTGAAGGGGCAGTACGAATTTGTTCTGCACTTTCTGCTTAAGACGGCTGACGATAAGACACCCATCTGCTCGGTTCGTCCGGTTCATAAGTGGGATCGACGTTCGATCAACTGTGAGGTCGAACTCGAGCCAGGTACATATGAAGTTATCCCCAAAATCACAGCCGAGAGATATTATTGGCTCCCGACTGTCCAAAAGATGGTCAAGATGGGAGCCGATAATAATCCTCAGAAATTACGCCAGATCGGTCTGCAATATGATCTCGCACATGCCAAGGGCGGAATCGTTGACGAAGATGAGGCCCTCCGCAAGAAACGAGAACTCGAGAAGAAGAAGAAGCTCAAATGTAAGAAGCAAGAAAAGAAGAAGAAACAGATGGAAGAAGCCATGGCCCGTATGGAAGCAGCGATGGTACAGATGAGGAATGAGTATAATCGGTCTCTCAATGAGAAGGACACTGAAAAGGAGAAGACCAAGAAAGAGAAAGAAAAGGAAAAAGAGGAGCCCGCACAAAAGAAGGAGGTTGGAGAAGAGCCCAACAAGAAAGAGGATGATACTGGAGCCAAATCAGATAAGGCGCTGCCTGGATTTTGGCCAGAAGAGACTTCCAAGTCACTCTTGGAAGTCTCGACTCTTGGTGAAACACCAACTGAGCCAAAAGGGGACCCGTCTTCATTTGATACGAGCCAAGAAACCGAAGAGAAGAAAAGAGGATCTGCAGACTCAAGTGATCCAACCACGAAATCTTCAACTGCCGACCGCAGAGGCCCTCCATCTCTCGCAAACTCACCAATACCATCACGAGATCACAGTCCCCAACACAGCAGAAGAACAACCATGCAAAGCATGGACACAAACCCCGTCTTCACACCTCCCACAGAACCAACCTCAGAGTCGGACCTCGACAGCTCAGACTCAGCGTCCGAGTCCTCATCTGAACCAGACGATAGTTCCTCGAGCTCAGACGACGATATATCATCCACATCGTTGTTTCCCCGACTCAGGCAGAAGAAGAAACAGCCGTGGAATGCCGTGTGCGTGATTGGCCTCCGCGTCTACGCTCAGCACGCGGGCATCAAGGTCCGTCTTGCTGATCAGAGGGACGATGAGGCCACTGAGCTCGTGCCTCCAAAGGGGAGCCCTGCTAGTTCGTGAGCTAGAAGGAACATGCCGCCTGATATACCGTTTTTGCCAAGATTGTCTAACATTGCGAGTCGTGAGACGTGGTGTTTATGTTGATGACGGAGGTTTATGTGTGTATTCCACGAATAGGAGAATTATTTGTACGAGAGCAACAAATAGGATTTGACAGCACTCTTCTCAGTCATGTTTTTAGCATAGCGGTTTTACTTGTCATATATCATAAAGAATGAATACTCTGTCTTCTTTTTTCTCTCCTCGCTAAGTTTCAGTGTGGATAGCACTATTCCTCGAACTGAGTTATACCCGAGACGCAATTTAACTACAACGCAGTCCGAGTCAGACATGATCAGTTGATAGAAAACAAAAATGGCTTCAATAATCAATCAAGTTTATTTACTACATGATCTACAGCCGTCGTATCTCCATGCGTTCCACATTGACTACTACTTCGGATTTGCCTACCGTCAAACAAAGAAACGTGCGGCCCATTGTTTCTCAGTGAAACTCGGCGTATAAATGAGCCCCGAACTAGCATAAAAAGCACCCACCAAAATTCTACAGAAACCTGTCTCATTCTTTTTGTCCAGTCCCAAACTTCAGACGCCGTTTCAACTGCACGGCCCAAGCCGCTGTTTCATCTGTCCTCGTCCTGTTTCATCATCCAAGCTTACCCCTACCAAGTCACCCTTGAGATTTACATGCACGATCTACGAGACGGTTTCCGGCCAGGGTTGTTGAGTAATGGCATGGAAAAGAATGATCTGAGGCAAGGCTCACCGTCGTGAGAGATTGATAGAACCTCGGAAGCCTTTCCAACTCGGGAAGACCTTGCGGATGAAGTACGAGGTTTGGATGAATCTATCACGATGCAGGGTTGTTGAAGGAGAGGTTCGAGCGTTGGAGTTGAGAGCATATAAGCTGGATGAAAGTCATCGAAATAACGAAATCAGATCAACTCAGCTCAGCAACTTTGCATTCATTCGTTTCTAAATAACTTCTTTCGTTTAAAACTTGACCTCATTCATTATGCTCTCCAAGTCTGTTCTCATCGCCCTCGTGCCCTTTGCAGTGGCTGGTCCCATTGCTCCTCGACAGGGCCTTGGTTCTGGCCTCGGTTCTGGCCTTGGCTCTGGTATTCCCAGCTTTGGAGGTTCCAAGGGCAGTCTTCCTGGACTTCCCAGCTCTGGTGGCGACTCTACTGGCGGACTTCCAAGCATCCCAGGTCTTCCTAGCTCTGGAGGTTCATCTGGAGGTCTTCCTAGCATTCCAGGTCTGCCCAGCTCTGGAGGCTCAACCGGCGGTCTCCCAACTCTCCCTATCGGAGGTGGTGGCTCAAGCTTCCTCCCAGGAGGCTCTACCGGTGGAGAGACATCAGGAGACACTTCTGGAGATACCTCCGGCAGTGCTTCAACCAGCGCTCCCGCTTCTCAGCCCACAGGCTCAAGCGAGACTCCCCGCGCTGAGGGCAGCTCATCCACCTCTCCCTTCGGCAGCTTCCTTGGATCTGCCGGTGGCAGCAGCGGTGGCTTCGGTGGTTCCACTCAGAACGGCCTCAGCGGCGACTGCAAGGACGTAACTGTCATCTTCGCCCGCGGCACCACTGAGATGGGCAACGTCGGCACTGCTGCCGGACCTCCTTTCTTCCAGGCTCTTGCTCAGCAGCTCGGAAGCGACAAGCTCGCTGTCCAGGGTGTTGAGTATGCCGCCAGCGTTGGTGGTATTATGCAAATGGGTGACCAGGCCGGTTCTCAGAAGATGTAAGTTTACCTTGATGCTAGTAAAACTGTGCATGGCTAACAGAAATAGGGCGAGCCTTGTTAAGCAGGCTTACGAGAAGTGCCCCAAGACCAAGGTCGTCATGTCTGGATACTCACAGGGTGCTATGCTGGTTCACAACGCAGCCAAATCTCTCCCCGCCGACACCACTAGCAAGATTGCCGCCGTTGTCAACTTTGGCGATCCTTGTAAGTCACTTCCAGCGCTCAGCATTTCTTCAGAAACTAACAACTTTGCAGTCCAGCGACAGGCTATCCAGGGTGTTCCTGCTGACCGCGTCAAGATCATCTGCCACGCTGGTGATGGTGTCTGTGCCGGTACTGCTGCTATCACCCCTGACCACTTGACGTACAGCCAGGATGCCAACGCTGCTGCCCAGTTTGTCGTTAGCAAGGTCAAATAAATGACACGCTGACCGAACCAAACCAAGAGATGAGTGGAATGACATAATGGAAATATAGCTGGAGCAGAGCTTCGGGCGTGGATAGGTTTAACTTTCTCCTGTATCTTTCAAAGTAGCTTGAATATGAGTAAAATTGATCATTTTCCTCTGAAGACTTACATTGTGAAGAACTTAGACTATAACATCATGGGATTTTATTCAATATTCCATAAGGTTCACAAAGCTGAGGCACAACTTGGTCAATAATCTTCCTAAACTTAGGACCACCATCTTCCACTTATCTGCCGCGTAGCGACATGTTGACTGAATCGCTTAAACAGACCAGTCTTAGGAGTAAATCACAGCTGAACCGTGTTCTGAAAGAGGCAAGTTGCTATGTTGAATCTGTTGAGTAACGATAAAATATAAAATGAAAGCTGGGATATGCATCGAGTCATAGAAGAAAGTATCATGAATGGGATGATCTTCCATCGTTGTGATTGTGGTAAAGATTCTTCCGTAGTTACCAGAGCATATCATCAAGGAGCAGCAAGTCGTGAACGTATGTTACAGCTGCTGCCAGACTAGTATGCTTGTTGAACCGGGATTCTCTAGGAACAGTTAACGAGAGCTAAAAGAGAGTCAAAATAGATGACAAGATTCGGGACCGTCTTGTCCTTGTGTCGAGACAGCACGATAGCCTTGACTGCCGGTGTGAGCAATAGTCGAACTACACGGAGATATGAGAATATAACTAAGAATTTACCAAGACTGGCCTAAATTTGTCAAGTATATTCAGTATTTAGGCCTAAATGCTCCTAAATTAACACTAACCTTATGATGATTTCTTCACTGAGGTAACCGGATTGTGATATGAGGTAGGCCGAAAACCACAAGTGAGATATCCTCTCGTTCGTGGTCAACAGCACTAGTTGGAAAAGAAAGAGCTTCTTCTAGTTCAAAATCATAGGCTTAGGAGTGTATAGAATGCTCATTTGAAACAGAAAAGCTGGTGTGGGGTGTCGTTCGTGAGAGTCCGACAAGCGATGGGAATGAACTTTCAGCACCACAATATGTTCCAAAACAATTCAGGCTACTTCAACAACAAACGGGGATATGGTGTAGGGGTATCACGTTCGCTTTGCATTGTTTCAAATGCTTGCGAAAGGCCGGGGGTTCAAATCCCTCTGTCTCCAAGCTTTTGTCTGTCTTGTTGCGGCATTTTTGGACAAGTTCTGTCCAGTCCTCACAACTCTATTTTTAGTCTTGGATACCCCACACAAGCACCTCAGTACGTTCCGTTGACTAAGCCTGCTACACAGACCCCAATGGGCTCTGTTGTCTTGGGGCACTGTGATTTGGAGACTACCCAAGAGCGTGGGTGTGAACCACTGCTCCAGCACGCGGCAGCTGTTTGAAAACATACGTGAGCTATCAGCGACGGTGTTTCCAAGTCAATCCCTTCACTGGCTGCTATGCAATGGTTTCGCGAAGTTGGCCACAGTCACTCGCAAAGCATCAGCAATCGTTCTTTGTTAATGACAAGTCAGCCATGTTGCTGCATGTGATTGACAAGCCAGGGGGTGTTGCATTTGGAGAAGCAGACACGTGCCGCCACAAGCCATGAATCATGTGTCCCGCATGAACAAAGCTCGCATTCCATTGCGTTTGCGGACAATTATTAGATTAGCCTTGGGGGAAAACTCTTTCAGCTGATGTACCGTGCATAATTGGGTTTTACCACGGGAGAGGCTTGAGACCCCGTGAGCAACGAAAAGACGTGGCAGTTTGACGACAGTTTCTTTTGTCTTATAATACGTAAGTTGTAGATGTTGCATCGATTTCTAGAATATCATGTTATGATATTCCCCATGTTAGCGACGTCATATTCAATGCGCCCCCACAGATAAAATACCCCCCCGCGTTTATCCCCGGAGTTTGGAGATGACATTTTCACATGTAAATACTAAGGCAGTGCTACCTACCAAAACATGTCACGAGTCACGAGTCGTCATCTTACTTCGGCTTTTGGACCGAATTGAGCTTGGAATGATCCATTGTTTGCTCGAGAATTGACCTTTGACTCTGTTGTTTATGTATCTAATCATCAATGGCTTTTGACTTTTGCTCTCCCTTTTCCTCTTCTCTTGATGATATTCTCGTGAATGTGAAACACCTCAAACACTCAGTATACTACTGAACGTTGCACTTATCGCCAGTAAATCGACTTACAACGGCCAATTCACGATAAGGCTCTCGTAACCCTGTCCTAGTCCCACCACCGAGGATATTGAGTCGTGTGTTGCAGGGCCTTTTTTCTTTCATGTGAACGACCATCATTTTATCCGGAAGACCCTACGACACGACACGGCACGACACCATGTGTCTGCATTCTAATTGATTTCCTTTGTTTCTTTGCTGACCTTGCATATTTCGTCGGCATCACCAAATAAACACATATTCAGACTTGGTCTGCTCAGCATGATAGACCACGTCTTAGGACGGCCTTCGGTCAAGTCTCGACGACTTCAGGTCCTCGCAGTCTTGACTTTTTGGTCTGCCTATTTAGTAAAGTAAGTATTCCACCTTTGAATCTGGGCTCTGAGGTACTAACACACTTACAGAGGCCACAAACATGGCCCTCCCGGCGCCCAGTTACTCTCGAGACTCTTCTCCAAGCGTCTAACAGCATGGCAAACCGTCGTGATAACGATGATCTATTTATACGCCGCTCGAAACTTCAGCACCCTAGTCGGACTTGCGAGCCCAGAGCCCATGGCCAATATGTACGATGCAACATACTATCGAGCTACATGGGTCTTGACTGCGCTGGACGCTGGCTTCTGGACGGCCATGAAGATCAAGACCAAATGGTTGCGCGATATGGCGAGCATCGTCTTTTCACTTTTCTACCTTGTTGCTACCGAAAAGGCAGACGAAAAGGTCCGAAAAGTTAGGGGTATGATTACCGTCGAACATCTGCGAGTGTCCTGGAATAAGGGCACATCACCTTATTTGAGTTTCTTTCAGGGACTCATGCGACCTCGTTTTATGCGATGGCCTCCGAGACAGATTCGAATACCACGGCCCGCCGATAGCGACTACAAAGAACCTGTTCTTGCGTGGCTGTACTATGATGGACCGTTGTCAGATCTTCACCGTCACGATAGACTGATTCTCGATATCCCGGGCGGTGGGTTTGTTGCCATGGATCCTCGCTGTAACGACGACAAGTTGTTCTCATGGGCTGCCAAGTCAGCCTTGCCAATTCTGAGTCTCGACTATAAGAAGGCACCCGAGTTCCCGTATCCATATGCACTGAATGAGTGCTTCGATGTTTACAGAACTATTGTAAACACCAAAGGTCGATGTATAGGTCTACCAGGCACAGAAGTTCCTCGAATTATCGTCACTGGCGACAGTGCTGGAGGAAACCTAGCGGTTGCTTCGACATTGATGATTATGGAGACACGACACCCAGCGTTCCGCAGACCAGGCCAAACAGAGCTGCCAGCTCCTGACGGACTTGTGTGCTTCTATCCAGCTTTAGATATGAACATCGGCAACTGGATGACAGATGAGCAGATGTCTCTTATCAAAGACCGCAAGATGAGAAAAACAAACCGAAGAATTATGCGACGCAAGAGCATGCAGTACAATGAGCTCGTTGGAACTCCTCACCACTCTGACGATGAAGAAGATGGATCGCCGCCACCGCATACCAAGTTGAGCGCTTTGACGACAAAAGAGGCCTTGATTGCGGCATCTCAGGGACCCAGAAGTCCACATCCTGAGTTCTCTCATGTCGGCCCTCGCTCTCTGAGCTTCCCGAAAGATGCCTCTGAGGCCAATGAGAAAAAGTCTTCTCATCATCCTGAACCGATGAAGACGCGACTGGCTACTTCTTCTATGATCTCTTACTTCAACGATCGAGTTCTTACGCCCGAGATGATGAGAGCCATGATTATCTTATATATCGGTGCTCATAACCGACCTGATTTCAGCCAGGATTATCTCCTTAGTCCCGTACTGGCCCCAGAGGCTTTACTCGTCGACTTTCCCAAGACATACTTTATGACTGGAGAGCGAGATCCTCTAGTTGATGATACGGTCATATTTGCAGGACGACTTCGCCGTGCTAAAGAGGCTGCATTTGTTCAGGAGCAGTCAGGAACAGACCAGAACGCCGAGTTCAATGATAGAGACGCAGCCGAGGTGATGTTAATTCCTGGAACATCTCATGGCTTCATGCAATTCCCAACTGTTTATCCTCCTGCTTGGAGACACTTTGAGAGATGCATCGACTGGTTCGACCAACTCTTCGACCACGCAGAAGTTATGCGTGTTCGTAAAGACAGACAAGCCCGAGCCGCCAGGTCCCAAACCAACGGCTTCGGAATCAACGGTGACGGTCGTCATCACATGCGCACCGAATCCAGCGAAGAAGACAGGCCCCTCGAGATCAGCATGACAAAGATGAACCAACGACGCAGCTCCAACCAAACAACACCCCAGCAAAGTCCCGACATCAACGGCGGCAGCGAAAGCGGCGACACGACACCACGAGCGCACACCAACGGAACCTCTTTATCAAACGGCGATAAGAACGCCAAGAGACGCAAGAGTGTGGGTCTCAGCAAGAGCAAGAATAGAAACAAGAGCCTTGTTAAGCTCAAGAGTTCTGATGATCTACTGGGGAGACGTATGCAGGGACTTGCGAGCGGGTTGACGGGGATGGGGGATGACGACTAGAGAACAGCTCGGAAGGGACGGGATCTTGCATTGGGACGGATACTGCATGATGATGTGGGTTTTGTCGCATAAAGCGAGATGAGTTGCATCGTGAGGTTGCATTTTGCGTTGGTTTGTAAGTCGGAGTATACGATGAGGGCATATGTTTCTGTAGTTGATTCTTACGAAGATATGACTGTTTGTAGATACACATAGGACACCCTTATTAGAATGTTTTGTACAACTTGTGGCCTGAAGTGATTTTGATGCAGGCGTGATGATGATCGGACAAGACAAGGACTGCCTGGTCAACGAAGCTGCAATGCATCGATTTTCTAGAAGACTGCCAAAATCACTGACCATCTTCTCGAAACAGTAAGACGGGACAAAACGGATCGGCCAAGCCTGGATCGCGGATATTGAATCCCGGCGGACCGCCGCGCTGTGGGCCAGGTCAAGGTCGTAACAATGAGGCGTTGTGGCTGGAATGATAGTTGAGCAGCCTGTAATGATATCGACATATGAAGAATATGCAGTGTCATTGCTTATTCACTACTACTGAACGGCACGTAGGCGCTGTAATTGCTGACAAAGTTGTCAATGCAGCCTGATTTGCCTCCAAAATGACTTTAGAGCCCAACAACATAAACACCTCAGCCTGCGATGCGCACCGACAAAAGTGAGGCCATTCGAAGCATTGTCTGTGTCTAGAAGAAACGGGGCTCAAAAGGGGGCGGACGGACCGTGTCTGCGTCAGAGCTCTCTGTCTCGGTGAGCACAACACGCAACATATGAGAGACCCCACGAAATTGGGCGGGAGTTGGGCCGGTTGGATTATGAGCAAGGATTCATTCAATCCGGGGATGTTGGGCTGGGAGGAATAAAAAGACACGCCACTTGGATGACTGAGGTCAGGTTATTTGGGGTGAGAAAGCAGCTCACGGAGAAACCGTAAAGGGCCCCTTTTTGGGGATTATTTTTACGGATAGAGAGGCATATGTGATACGTGTGTTTTGAGGAGAGTTTTGTCGATCTTTCAGAACTCGTAATGCTTACCAGTAGACGTGTAGTTTTCTACGGGTCTAGATGGCCTCACATAAAACGATACATAATGGATAATGCTGTAGCAAGGTAAAGGTGAGCAGAGGTGAGCGAGTCCAGCCTCCTTGGCTGATCTCTCGGCATAATAACCTGGAGTACTCGCTAATCAAGTACCTATAGTGCCCGTTTCAACCTCAAGTCTCAGCCTGTGGGTAAAGAGAGTGAAGCATTTCATACGGAACTCGGCCGTGGATATGGGTCTAGAGGCCCGTCTCGCCGGCCGGTAACCTCCGTGATTGGACCGCGCTTGTTGGCCGGGCTGCCGTCGCGACATTTCCCATTCTTTTCAGCCCTGTAAATATCAAGGAAATAGTCAATGAAGAGACTTGAACCATAAGGGTCACGACGATGATGGAAAAAGGAAGGTAGAAGAGTAGAAAGGATATTGTTAATAAACTAAGTTCTCGAATTTACCCGGTAAAATTGTGCCTTTCTGTCACCGAGAACAATATTGATGCCCGAGCAGGGGCTTGCACGGTAATGCTGCAAGTCATTCCAGGACCTTGACCACAATGAAATTCGATAATCTTCACTGGATGAATAGAATCGAGTTCTTGAGGCCAAAATATGGGGGCAAACAACATGAGACGCAAGACATATGCGCCCATAATCAAGATCAAGAGACAATGGAGTGAGTTTGGGGGTTCAACGCCCGCAATACTATCCAACATCCATATCGAGATGAGGATAGCAGAGCACATCGTAAACAGGGCACACCGACTTTACCTGGGGAAATACCATGCTACGTTAACTCTCCTACATCGTCCCAGAAAAGCCCAACAAATAGGATCAAATCCCCAGACCTGTACCCCAAAGCCTGGGATATCTGTCCGATCTGCTTCAGAGAAAAAACACAGCAACCCCTTTCCCACGGAGACTGACCGTTAAGTTGTGCTTTGTTTCGAAAAAGGGACATCATCAGATGCTTTTTTTCAACCCTTGCCCGGAGACCAGAACCCGAAAACCGCGTGTTCTTTCTCTCGGCTTCACTTCACCGAATCGACCTGACCGAGCTACCCAATAGGGTAACAAGGGGGGCTGCAAGGTGAGCTGACCTTGACTTGTTTGCGGGTATTGTTTACGGCTGAGACAGAAATCATCACTGGGTTACTTATTTCGGTCTACGCGAGGCCGCCTGAGAACAAAAGAACTTTGTCACAAAAAATAAATAAACCAGTAATTTTAAAGAAATCTATGAGGGATATACAGCCAATACTAGAGGCAGAACGGTAGGTGTCGGTGTAAGTCAAAAACGAGACTCCCCAGTATCACCGAACAGACAGGGGGATAAACACAAAGGTGAGCAATCGTCATCATCATGCCCCTCGCACCGACAAAGCCAATAATAGGTTCCTCGAAAAGGAGAAAGCGGATGAAAACGGGGTCAGTGATTTGGGTATAGATCATGTAGTTGTCAGGTATCTTTCTCGCGTGTTTCTGGTGGTTTTCAGGTCTGTACTGGTACGGAGGATAATACGTACGATGCTGGGATCGGGATCATCAACAGGGCAGTGCTTGTAAAGTTACAGAAGCCTCAGGTACCAGACAGGTTGGGCCTTTAGTTTATGGATAGCTACGGAGACCTAGCATTATGCGCGGGCTCCCGTTTGAGGTGCCGGATTTCCATGCTTGTTAATTTGGAGGCATTTATTTTATTCACGTCCTCAAGAGAATTGTTTAAAAAGCCGGTGGCTCTTCCTCGTTGAGACTTCTTTTGTTTTCTCTCGATTCCACTCGTATCTCTTCTATTGCATCACTCATACATAACCAACCATCGTCTATATCCATCCACTCTCTGGATATCTATCTGTTGCCCTCCCCTCATCTCCATTATAATTCCTCTTGCATTACACGTCCTTTTTCACACTAGGGACAGCTTCAGCTCTCAAACACCAAATCTATTGCCGAGCTTCCCGTTCTACCCCTCCACTGTACCTTCAAGGCTGCGGCTTGCCGTCATCGTCACTGTAGCTCTAACCCACTAAAACGCCATATCCAAACGCGCGCCACGCATACCAAACACAACACGAAAGCAAGAAAAAACCGGCTGCTACCGTTTTCCCTTTTTGGCCTATTACATTAAACTTTGTGTGATATCTGCTATATCAAGAGCTACCCCTCTTCCTCTTCCATCATGAGTCTCGTACAACATTCAGAAAGTGAGGCTGCCTCACCTGTTCCCATCATCGAGACAGACGATCAAGGAAGACCTGTCAAGACAAGTACAAACGGTTATTTCCCCTCCAACGGCCAACATCTTCCCTCTTCTGCCAACGGAACTGTTACACCTTCTTTCATCGACAACATGTCTCATCTCTCCGTTGTCCGTGCCAGAGACGACTCTGATGCTGTGTCTGTTCGCTCCACGAGCTCTCGTACCTCGAGAAAGCCTCAGATGCAGCTTGCGAGCTACCAGGATGAGTTCACCACCAGCGTTTACGGCTCTCGCTTTGCGGGCATGGACCTCCCCAAGCATCATATGCCAGAGAATGAGATGCCCCGCGACATTGCTTATCGCATGATCAAGGATGATCTGAGTCTTGACAACAACCCCATGCTCAAGTAAGTTTTCTTGTCTCCTCCACTTTCAGATCCGAAAACAGCTGCTAACAGCTATTTACTAGCTTGGCATCTTTTGTCACTACTTACATGGTACGTAATCAATCCATACCCGTCGTTTGCCAAGCCCGCCCACAGCGGGGACGAACCATTTCTTGGCTCTGGGGATGACAGGTAGCTCTGTGCAATACCAGCCAGCACAAGCACTAAATTACCCCGCCATCGTATCTCTGAATAGCTTCACTAACACCCGTACCAGGAAGATGAGGCTGAAAAGCTCATGGCGGAGTCCTTCTCCAAAAACTTCATCGATTACGAGGAGTACCCTCAATCCGCCGACATTCAGAACCGTTGTGTCAACATGATCGGCGATCTCTTCCACGCGCCTCCTGGCGAATCAGTCGGTACATCTACTGTTGGCTCATCAGAAGCCATCATGCTTGGCGTTCTTGCCATGAAGAAGCGCTGGAAGCTCCGCAGACAAGCTGAGGGAAAGAGCACCGAGCATCCCAACATTGTCATGTCCTCTGCTGTGCAGGTTTGTTGGGAAAAGGCCACTCGTTATTTCGAGGTTGAAGAGAAGCTCGTCTACTGCACACCTGATCGATTCGTCATGGATCCTGATCAGGCTGTTGATCTGTGTGATGAGAACACTATTGGCATGTGCGCTATTCTCGGAACTACTTATACTGGTGAGTACGAGGATATTAAGGCCATTAATGATCTCCTCATTGAGCGAAATCTCGATGTTCCTATCCACGTTGATGCCGCCAGTGGTGGTTTCGTCGCACCCTTCGTCGTCCCTGACCTAGAGTGGGATTTCCGATGTGAAAAGGTCGTTTCCATCAATGTGTCAGGTCACAAGTACGGTCTTGTGTATCCTGGTGTTGGCTGGGTCATCTGGCGATCTCCCGAGTATCTCCCTCAAGAACTCGTCTTCAACATCAACTACCTCGGAGCCGACCAATCCTCTTTCACTCTTAACTTCTCCAAGGGTGCATCGCAGGTCATTGGCCAATACTACCAGCTCATCCGTCTCGGAAAGCATGGTTACCGTGCTATCATGAGCAACCTCACCCGTACTGCCGACTACCTGACAGAAACCCTCGAGAATCTGGGTTTCGTCATCATGTCGGAACGTTCTGGAGCTGGTCTCCCCCTCGTTGCCTTCCGCTTCAAGACTGTTGAAGAGGGCGGTGATCCTGATCGCTACTACGATGAGTTTGCTCTCGCTCACCACCTCCGTTCTCGAGGTTGGGTCGTTCCAGCTTACACCATGGCTCCCAACTCTGGTGTCAAGATGCTGCGTGTCGTTGTCCGAGAGGACTTCACAAAGAGTCGATGTGACCAGCTCATCTGCGATGTCAAGCTGTGCCACGGTCTTCTCATGGAGACGGATCAGGAGTCCATCAAGAAGCGTGAGGAGTATATTAGGAATCACATTTCTGCCATGGGTCGTGGAAAGCATGCCCACCCTGTTTACAAGGTAAGCCATTTACGTCTTGCGTCTGTTGTTCTTTGACTAACATATCTCAGGGCGAGTCGCATTCTCTCCAGGGCAAGACTGGCAAGACACATGCAATTTGCTAGATAGCATAGACGGGATATAGGATATTGGGGATGGTTGGCGTTGAGCGTGTCATGATGTACTTTTTATATATGCGGACACAGGCCATCAATTGATGTTAGATCTACATTCTGACATATGTTTTCCCATTACTTTGTGATTTCCCACCGTGACACTTTTGTATTTCAGCTCAACCCAAGCCCAATGGCTCACGTAGCCCTTCCGTTCCCATTTATAAGTGACATTCGTCTCATTATCATATTTACGGCAATTGCAAAACGTAAATCAGTATATGGTATCTAGCCTTTTGTCTAGTCTCGCTCTCGTCTTAACGTCAAACACTTTTAACCAGTAATCATAAACAGCCAAGTCTATCCTTATCGAGTAGCAGCAATAGCAGCCTCCACAATATCCAATCCCTGGTTAATCTCCTCATCTGTAACAGTCAAGCTCGGCACAAATCGCAATGTGTTGACGCCAGCACTAATGATGAGCAATCCCCGCTCACGGGCAGCCTTGATGATGGCTGTAGGATCCTCAGACAACTGCAGACCCAGAATCAGACCGCGTCCACGGACTTCTGTGACAAGGTCGGGATATTGGCTCTGAAACTTAGCGAAGCGCTTCTTGAAGATCTCGGACTTGGCGCGAACGTCGGCTTGGAGTTGCTTATCGGAAAGACGGCCGACGATGTAATGCGCCAGACGGCAGGCTAGAGGGTTTCCGCCGAAAGTGGTACCGTGGTCGCCGACCTTCATCTTATCAGAGACGTCCTGCGTCACGAGCACAGCGCCAATGGGGAAGCCATTTCCGAGCGCCTTGGCCGTTGTGAGGATATCGGGGTGAGCCTCCTTTGGCAAGTTACCGTGAGCCCAAAGAGTTCCTGTACGGCCGAGACCAGACTGAATCTCATCATAGATGAGAACAGCACCAACCTCACGACATCGCTTTGCAAGCGCAACAAGGAACTCCTCAGTAGCAGGAGTAACACCACCCTCACCCTGAATAGGCTCTACAATAACACCGCACGTCTTCTCGGTGACCAAATCATTGATACCAGCAACATCGTTGTAATTTCCCGTCTTGAAGCCAGGAACCATAGGCGAAAAGGGCTTCTGGTACTTGGGGTTCGGTGTCGCGGACAAGCTGCCCATAGTTCGGCCGTGGAAACCATTATTGAACGAGACGATCTCGACCTTCTCGCCCGAGGGATCGACGACCTTTCCGGCTTTACGGGCGAACTTGATAGCGGCTTCGTTGGCTTCGGAACCAGAGTTACAGACGAAAACTGAGGCGGCGTTGTGCATGGCGCCTGACTCGAGGGTTTTTTCGACGAGGAGTTTGGAGAGGGCGCCTGTCCATGGGTTGTAGTACAGGTTGGAAGCGTGAACGAGAGTTTGGGCCTGTTAACAACCGTTAGTAACTCAATTGCACAATTGAAACTGTCAATTTCTTACCTGCTCCGTCAAGATTCGAGTAAACTCAGGATCGCAATGACCGAGACCATTGACAGCGATACCGGCGGTAAAGTCCAGAAACTTTCGATCCTCAGCATCCCACAACCACGACCCTTTCCCCTTCACAAACACAGGCGGAGGTCGAGCATATGTGGCAACCATATAAGGCGCATGCTCATTCACAATAGCAGCGCTCTTGGAATCGGACGTGACGTCGGCATTTGGTAGCGAAGCGAACCCTCGGCGGACGATCCGAGGACGGGCGACAGCAGCGCAGGACGCTAATCGAGCTCGGAGGGGGAGTCGCAGAGCCATTGCGGTTGTGTATTATAGGGAGGAATTAGTTACTGAGAGAATGGAAATGCGAGGTTGAGTGTAATTGCGTTTGGAGGGGAAGAGAGAATATTTGTGATTCTTATCTTATCAATCGCCTCCGCTATCGCAGTTCGATTTTGACACTAAAAACTTTATTCGAGTCACTTCCCTGTCAAAAAAGGATCCAATATGGAGACATTTTGACTCAAACAATGAATCCTTGCTAATTTACGATCAATTTTATATTGACAGAACCTTCAAGGCGCGCCCTCCTTGTAACGATTTCACATTCAAAGGTCAATGCTCGCCAAATTGAGTCACCGTGTAAATACTCATCAGCAAGATGGATGTGCATCTGTCTATACTTGAGGTGAAACGGACATCAGTCACAGTATATGACATGCCGAGTCTTGTAGCAAACGTATGATGCACAGGTAGTTTTTCTTATAGTAAAGAGAACCGGTTTCCGTCACTGGGTGAAGTACAACACCGATCCAACATCCACGTCCTTCAAATCGTTTATGCCCCCTTTACACTGAAGTTTAATAGACAAGAAGGCTCATTCTGTGATAAATCATTACCAGTAAATGGTGCTCTCACGGCAATCGCGCCTTTGATATCTGTATTCTTGTGCAAATGGCTCGTGTAAACAGGCGTAGGCACCAAGTAAGTTGAGATGAGCAATAGACGCGATAAGTTATCTCTGCGCCCTCCACATTATAAACACAGTACTGCAATCTTTCCCCAAGTAAGAGATTGAGAAACATGTCGCATTCATATGCGGGTTGTCAATTGAGTTGTGCTTTGTCTTGAGGCGACTCCGATCTTTACATTCCAACCGATAAAACATAGGCCTTCTGACCTTCAACTGCATCGAATACAACACAGGTCACACAAACAATACACTAGATCATCTTTCTACCAAATTTGAGTCATATTAGAGAGTAAATGATGCAAGAACCATTCCGTCTAGTTGTTTCTTTAGCAGTGTCCAGTTTCACCAACCAGCCAAACCCGACACACACATCCAACGGCATTCCAGTACATATCCTATAATTAACGCCCGTTATACAACCTTATTACTATATCCAATCAAGTTACGAACCGTTGCACAGCCGCCTAAAAGGCCTCTTTCATGTGAGCGTAGATCCCTGGATCGTGCACCGCTGGAGGAGTAAAGATTCACGCCACCGTTGGTTGCAGCCCTACCAACTCGTGTGATAACCTCCGTCGATGATCCCGATGAGTTTGGTGATACAAGCGTCACCTACCTAATCGATGCAAGATCCAATACCCGGAGTGTAGAACAATACCCCCCCTCTGGTCAAATCATGGCGTTGAACACTACACCGACTATACTTGGCGTGTTTTCCCTCGGCGCCCGAAGACCTGGCTGGAGTCACACTCGGCCGGATTAGCACCGATCCGAAGAAGCGATTCGTTTGTTGTAGATCTAGACTTTAGATGGCGATATGTCTGCATGGGTTGAGGGAACAAGGAGGGTGTCGTGCATTTAGGCATGACCCAAAGACTTGGAACTGGGAAACTTGAACCAGCGTAGTCTAAAGACAGAAGGTTTACATATAATCGGAGACATTCAGAGATTCCAGAACCGTTCTGTTGGTTCGTAGTCTCGGGCGCGACATACTTCAGCTTGTGTCTTTGGTCTAAGGCACAGAAGTTTATTAACAAAGCTACACACTTTAGACTTGCCGTCTCTTGAAGAACTATATACTTAGCTTAGACGTTTAAAAGTCAAATCAAGCGTAACGGTTCGTGTAAGTGCCCGGACAATAGTTGCTCACCGTATTGCCATGTTATCAGCATAAGTTGGTCCAACCTCAAATTCGTACGCCACCAACTCCTTGCCCCCTACAATATGAGAGACATAACGACGTAAGAAAAGGCGTAAGAGAAGGCGGTACAAGTCTAAGCGTGGATACTGAACTATTGACAACTTCCAAGGCATCGCCGGATCTAGAATGTCTGTTGGGTTGTTCACAAGTGAGGGCATCGCCGTGTACACCCACTCCATGAGAAAGGAACCAACTGCATATATGTCTTTCCAACAATATCGAACTCTATCCTGAATCTTGTGTAACGACAAACATGAAGAATCTTCGAGTTCATTGGGTATTGGAGTCTTGTCTGGATACATGTGGCTCGAGAATTCGCTAGATCGTGGTCTTGGAGGGATTATTCGTGTGATTAGAGATGCAGCTGAGAATGTGATATGGCGAGTTTGCTAGTCCAGACCTTTGTGCTTATTCACAGCTGAGGTTGGTGGTGGAAAGATTTGTCGAGACCTGAAGTCGATCACGATAAAGGTGTTAGGAGTTGACGAGAAGCTCTATCTTAAAGTTGTATAAGTGGAAGAGATGGCCAGACGAAAGAAGAGGTTCATTAGAGCAAGAATCTCATCATCTCCATCACAATATCTCTCTCTTCTTATCCCATTGATTAGTGTTGATTCAACTCAACATGTCTTCTATCCTCCAGACTCAGGCCCTCTCTTCCCTCACGATCAACCTCATTCCCACCTTTATACTGTTCTCTGTGGCCGTCTACGTCCTTCCAGCACTGACTCGCCGCCTTCTGCAATTCCTCTCGTCTCCAAGCCCCTTCAAGGAGAAGTCCAACAATGGTACCCCTTCCATCTCCAATCTCCCCCGCCTATCCGGTGTTGTTCCCTGGTTGGGCCATCTATTTGGCCTGACCATCGATAGCACTCGCTACATCAACCGTCTCATCAAATCCACCACTGCACCAATCTTCACCATTAACATTCCCTTTGCGCGAATCACCATCTGTCATCCTAGTATGGACCGAGTCCTCTCCCGTCATGTCAATGACACTGGTCTTGCTCAAGTTCTGGTTTACGTTGGCCCTCGCCTCTTTGGACTCAAGGAAGAGACTATCAAGGCTGTCTTTGGCTACAACCCCCAGCCCCTGCACAAGCAAAAATTTGGACACGTCGAGAACATTGTGTCCCTCAATCAGCGCTCTAGCACCAATATCAGGGATCGTGTGATGAAGATGCCCGAGACGAATGAAGTTCTTGTTGGGCGTTGGGTGTTTGAGCTGGCTGTCTCTGCTACAGCGAGTGCGGTCTGGGGAGTTGCCAACCCCTGGAGTATGGACCAGGACTTCTCTAACGAGTTCATGTAAGTTGTTACCACTTTACTTTGACAGGACATACTAACAAACTATAGGAAACTCAGCGAGACATTCGATACTCTCGGACGACCATTCGCCTGGCTCACAGCAAACTCAGCCTGGAACTCTCGCAGGTACCTTCTCGCCAGACTTCGCGAATTTCATCTGGAGCACCGCGAAGCTCGTGTTAAAACCACAGCTCACAGTATCAATGTCGTGGCTCACAGTGATCCCAACTGGGAGACCAACCCAGACTACTACCACATTGAGATGGTCTCAGCTCTAGGCCTCCTAGCAACTACTAGCACCCTCGCGGTCTGGCTCACACGCCACCTGTTGACGGACCCTGAGTTGATGAAGGTTATTCTCGACGAGGTGCAACAGCTCAAGCATGTTGAAAGAGAAGACAAGCCACGGCTGGACTTTGCTAATGTTCGCACTGAGTGTCCCTGGCTTATGGCATCTTGGTACGAGACTCTCCGTCTTCACATGACAGGTGTTGCTCGAATCGCTCGCCACGATTTCATGCTGAATCTCCCTGACTCGGATCCTATTGCCGTTCCCCAAGGAGAGATCTTCATGCTTCCAATGTGTGCATCCAACTTGGACGTCGACAACTGGGGTCCCGATGCCGCGACCTTCAAAGCTTCTCGTTTCATCAACAAAGCGGGTGAAATTTCCGGAAGTGCTGTTCATAAGGTCAGAGCTTTTGGAGTTGCGGGTAACATGTGTCCTGGTCGCGTGTTTGGTACTGATATCGTCTTCTCTGTTGTGGCGACGATGCTTCGTACCTTTGACATTGAAGCTGCTCCTGGTGAGGAGTTTCGAGTGCCAACTCTGCGTGGAGGTTTCAACGTTGGGTTTGAGAGATACGGGGACGATGTCAAGGTGCTTCTCAAAAAGAAAGGCGTTGCTTGAAAAGGTCTTAACGTGTATTGAAGGACTGAATTCAGGAAGCAGTCTGCAAGGATGAATCTCGAATTTGGGAGTATAGGAGTTAAAGTGATTTCTCAATATATAAAAATGTTTAAATCCCTTTATTATTCGTCGTGGTTTCCCGGGTGAACTCAATTTGGCTTCAAACAATGTTTCTTCGTCAATCTATGATGAACATTGCTGGATGCTCATAGGGCTTTGACGAATAGAAAATGACACAAAATCATGCTCGCGACTCTATCCTAAAACTGCCTAACTATAGGAAGATAACATATCATATTTATTGCACGTCTCCCCTTTGTATCCCTTCTAGGACTAATCTTGTAAACTCACGATGACTTCGATTATGGAAGATAAGACAGACACTCCTGGTCCAATGAAGTCAACCAGAAGATATTGCCTTTCGCCTTGGAGAGGTCTTAGTTATTCCACTACTTTTCTAAACTTGATGACCTGTGATGCTTCACAACAAGAATAGCTGAAGTGGTGCCGAGTGGTTGGGAAACGTCCCTGGTATTCACTATCTTTTCCGCTAATAAAGTAACTAGATCCTTTGGCTATAACCAATAAATAAATCAAGTTCGAATCTCAAGGTCCGAACTTCGGACAAGAAGCCACCCATTTCCAATTGTTGGCTGATTCAACGCCATCACCAACGCCAGTAAGGAGATGCCCCGACGTGCATATCGTCCCTACAACCCCTTTTCCATATTAATCCATAATATCTAGCTTAAGCACGACGAGCCTTCTCGCTGTGTCCCTTGATGACAGTGGACAAGTCGCCAACGGGGATTTGGATAGGGAAGTCGACGATGGCGAAGAGGACAGCGATGAGAATGTACCAGCCAGACATGCATGTGACGAACCCAAAGGCACCACCAGCCTGTGACTAGTTAGTAAGAGGTTAGGTGTATAGTGTAGGGGAGAACATACCACGAGGAGCTTTTGTGCGAGCTTAGCATTTCCAGTAAAGTCATCGGCCAGAGCCCAGAAAGCAGCAGTAATCATCAAGAAGCAGAAGGTCAAGCTGAAGAAGATCATGACGAAGACGACGTTGGTTCGGAAAGCGCAGATGAGGAAGATGAAGGACAAGACACCCATGAAGAGCAACCAGAAAGCTAACCTGTTAGCAAAAGATCATCAGCCTGCAGAGTATATGGACTTACCGAGACTAGCGTTGAAACCTCGAGTAGCAAGACCTTCAGCAGCAGATGTGGCATCGGCGGGAGCATATGAGGCGTAGGCAGCAAAAGCAGGGATGAGAGTGCCACCGTAAGAGAACCAGAAACCACCGAAGGAGCAGAAGACACAGGCTGGGAAACTGTTGCCGAGGACCCATTCAAGAATACCACCGATGATCATAAGAAGACCGCCCATAAAGACGTAGACGGCGCTGATACTGATGTTAGAAGTGTTTATAGGGGTTGCTGGTGGATGAAGACGTACTTTGAGGCAGCACCACTGCCACCAGCGCCTCGCCAGCCCATGAGATCGCAAGTCAGGGGTGTAAAAGCGAGAAGGAAGCCAACAAGAGCACTACAATAGTTGTCAGTAACAGACTCCTAATAAGGAGAAGTGAATCGAGCGTACATAGGTGTAGGGTTTCCAAAAGTCTGTCGAAGATCTCCCTTAACCTGATTCATAGGAGAAAGGTAAAGCTTCTCAAACAGTTCAGGGCTCATCTGAACGCTCTGAGCAGTTCGCAACCTGTTCAGACTCTCCAGGCGCTGAGCCTCAGGGTCAAAGCCATTGAGACCATCGTGCTTCTCGTTGAATTGCTCGCTGTGCTCGGTGGTAGCGGCCATGATGGTGATTTCGTCCAGGATGGGAGATTGAGAGAAGAGACTTTTCTTTCTTAGTGAAAAGGAGAAGAGTCAAATGGTATATAGAATCGAAATCAGATTATGGGGTAATGAAGAGGAGAGACAAGAGTCAATGCAGATGCAGGGACAGGGAAGGACTTATATCAGGCCATAGCTCCCCTAATATATATGAATTGCAAACCAGTACGGATACATAAGCTCAAAAGCCAAGCCTGGTCCCCCAGATTGGCACGGAACAGGGGCGCCACCCTTTGATCCGGCCCCATGTTGCATCTTTGGTTCATGTTGCTTTGCTTTTTGTTTCCCCAGGTCATGTATGGACTGACTGTCTATTCAGTCCCAGATCTCCACCACTAGGGGAAGAGGAACAACAACGCATCTAAGCGTGGAGAAGATCAGCCCGCCTGTCCGTCTAGAAGCACGGGGTTGGTTTGGTTGCATTGGCGCCGTGTCATCCGAGTCAGGCATGTCTTCGATTCATCAAAGCCACAGCAGGATTGGAGAACAAGACTAAGTCTCCGATTCGACGAGTTGTCTCAGTCTAACTTCTCGCAGCCTAAAGAGTGTAACAGCCTACCCCAGCTTGGCGTGCGTGTTTGTGTTGCGGGGGAGGAATTAGATTGGCAGCGCTAAGACCTGAGTTGGAGTTCAGTTCTCAACCCCAGATGCACCATCTCCACACGATCCCTTCGCCCGGCTGAGGGAGACAGGGACTAGGGAGAGAGCAGCCTCACCGTTGATGCGTTTGTGCGGGGGGGTCAGAGGGTTTCTTGTTGGGGATTCTTTTGGGGGAGAGTGAATGTTCTACGCGTATCAATTGCTAGTTGAGGATAGTCTAGATCGAGAGGCAAGATTGACTTTGGGTTATTCTCCGGCCAGCCGAGTTGCTGTGAGGGGAAGACATAGTGGCTTACACAAGATATAGGAGAACAACACAACAGAGAAGAACAGATGCATTTCACAACTGCAGTCTGGGGAAAGGATCGAAATTACCAACAAATGTGTATATTATGGATACGTATCAGAGATCACCGGGGCCCCGGACTGGTAACTACCTCCGTGCATCTTAGAGCTGGGTTCGTGTTGGTGGTCTAAGAAGCAGAACTTCGGATCCGCTGCCAGATGAGTGGATATCAATACAAGAATGGACATACATGATCGATACGGAGAATGCCTATAAGGTTACTGTAGAGGTGTAGGTGCAACGTGGCAGGGTACGTATAAGTCAGTGTCTAGGACAAGAAGCTTTTGTTGATGGGTCGATTATGATGCGTTCCAGCTTAGTTGGGCTGACAGAGGGGACCGGCTGTTGAAAGCGTTTAATCTCTGTATGGCTGCATAGACAGTTACACGTTGTAACGGTTGTTGACTGACTCGAGAAATGTAACCCTCTTCTCCAATTCAGTCTCTGATATGCCGTAACTCTTCCAACAATGAATCGAGGAGCATCTCAACAGTCAAAGCACAATTCAGCTTTGACTGTCACCTGATTCCACTGCCAATACAAAAGTCCATCAATCGTCACGTCCAAGCCAAGAACGTTCAGAGTCTGAAGAATTCCCTTTCCCCATTGCCCCAGATTCTGATCCCTTCAACCCCTGCAACGCCCTGAGATGAGGGGAAACAATGGTTGTTGACTGCGGCTCCGTGATTTTAGTCTACGCTAAATCGCGGTTCCGCCTTTTAGTGAGCTCGCTAAAAATACGGTACTTATATTTCTGGGGTTATCGGAACAACAAAAGACCGACACTCACAATCTATTGGCCATTGAATAACAACGTACTCACGCCGTCATTGATGATATTCGGCCCACAAGTTCCATGTTATCAACTCGACTCGATCATGATGATTTACACATTCAATCACCATTTTATAACCTCATCGTGATTATAAGACTCAATGGCTTTCTCTCCTAATAAAAAGCTCATCATCATCGATAAATGATCCATCTTGGCTTGCTCTGGTCCCTGACGTCTTGCTGTTTATGGTATTGACTTACACATCTATGTTGTCATCATGAGTAGCCAATCCGTCATGACTGTATCGACGACGTCACAGACAGAGACAGTAGAAAACAAGCAGAAGAGAGATTTCCATTCTCTTCACATAACATTGTCCAACTGATCACATTTGACCTCTACTGCTCTACCACACATCAACTCTAAACACTCTAATATCATATCTTAAACACCATCAAAATGAAGGCAGTTTTCGGTGCTGGCCAACAAGGTTCTGCTGCAGTTCCCATCACTGCAGGTGTAGCAGCTCTCGGCGCAGGTGTCTACTATCTAGGTAGATCCAAGCCCGAAACCACACCTGAGCAAGATCGCAGGGGTCGCGCGGAGGCCAAAAAGGCCGAAGGACTCAGCGGCGCCGGCATTGGAGGAAATGCCGTTACAGGCGGTCACGAGCTTAGCCACGCCAACTCGAACCGCAAAGAGGGCACCACAGCACCTCCTGAGAAGCTTCCCAGCGGTGGAGTAGGCGGCGGAGTTGGCGGTGGCGGTTCCAACGTTCGAACTTCAGTTGAGATGTCTGCCAAGGACCAGCCCGGTACATCGAGCACCTCTCATGGCAGTGGAATGCTGGGTGGTTTGTTTGGCACTGGAGGATCTAAGGCTGGTGATGGGTCTGGAAAGGAGGCCAAGGATACGAGAGTGGCTAGCAACTACGATGGCTCGCCAACCAAGAAAGACGCGACGCATCACGACCAACACCAGCCTAGAGTGAACAAGTCAGGTGGTGGCGACGAAAGCAACAACAAGGGTGGTAGCAGCAGCAGTGACCAGTCAGCTCGGCAGTCACTCCAGGGCGCTTTTGGACAGGGAGGAGGTAATGTCGCTGAGCGCGGTGATCAGAGCCAAGGGTTCCGTGATCCCCGAGTCGCGAGCAATCACACCGAGACGACGACTAAGAAGCATGCCAACTAGGAAGAGATTTTGAAGTAATCATAGCAGGAGTTTCTTAAAAATGAGCAAGTTTTACCGAGTTGCCTCGTCGACATAATCTCCTGAAAGTCAAGGATGTCAAATCTAGAATCCTTTCGTGAAACAAGCAAGTTTAGTGAGACCTAGCAGCGTCGTGATATTGTGCCTAGCAACATGATCCAATCTCCCATGGGCGCATGCTTGAGTTGTTGAGCTGAAGTGACCTGCATTGCATAGCCAAGTCTCACCCCAGAATCTCACAAGATCCATGTCCCAGGAAACTGAACAAGACGTAACTAGATCTGATCTGATCTCATGTGAAAAAGAAACAAGAAAAAAAGGAGTAACTGCAACTTGAGCGACCAATCGAACTGTGTCACCGCCACGCCCTCCGTGTCTCCGGGTCTATCCCAGATTGCAAGTCCCGTTTCCCCAGACCATCCACCATCTGCCGTGTCAAACACCTCCAGCCTGAGTATTCTGTCTGGAACACCACCATTTCCCTGGGAACTTTTGCTCAATGCTTGGTGGGTACGTCCAGAAGATGAGAAACGCAATGACTTTGTTGAGAAATCGACTTGGTCTTGATTGGTTTGGCATGTAGCGACGCCAGAGCTTGTATTCGGAGACAAGGAGAGTGTTGCCAAGGACATTGATGAAACGAAATAACCTGCTTTGTTAGAATGATGGGTTTGCTGTAGACTTGGAGACTTACATGTTGCAAGCAATGAAGAAGATTGTCGCAATGTCTGCTGCTCGAACTCCCTCGGATCTCTTCCCCATGGTTTTAACAACACCTGTAAGGGGCGGAATCCAAAGCCCTAAAATGCCCATTTCTAGGAGTAAAGACCAGTGATAAGTCCTCAACTCTGTACCCCTTACCATACTCAAGCAAAACACCCAACACGACATGAGAAAGTTGACCTACACTCGTCAGCACAAGACGCCCTCCTCATATTCACTCACTTACCACTGTGGGTCCAAGAATCAACTTCTCCTTCTTGTAATACTTCCAACACAGCGACGCTGCTACGATAGTAATCGTACTCTGCGCACAACCGACCAAAAAGTAGTACAGCAGTATCATCCGATACCTCCTATAACACACCCGATGGAACTCATACTCTTTCCACGCCGCATCCGACGTAACAGGAAAACCACAGTATCGACATACACAAACCGTAGCAAACGTTCCAAGGGTATACATACGACCCACGACGAACCCTCCCCTTGAAGAAACACAGTCGAGACATTCGTTGGCAAGAGGATATCTCGCGTCAGACTCATCGGCATGGATGAGATGATCTCTCAGCGCGTCGTAGCGAAGACAACGATAGCATGTTGAAAGGAGTTCGAATTTGATGCTTGGGAAGACTTCGCGGATGAAAGGTTTGTTGATAGTATGGCGCAGGAGACAACATGTTCGTCGGAGAGACTCGACTTCGCCGAATGTAAGATGCTTTAGAATCATGAGTTGAAGTTCCGCTGGGAGTCGAAGGAGATTATTGTCGATGTTAGCAACCGTTAGGCTGCCATCAGCCTTCGGACGTGTGCGACAGAGTTGCGACACTGTCTCCCTCTGGATATCCTCCTTATCATCACTTGTTGAAGCCGCCTTGATGTTGTTATCATCACTGATGCGCACAGCCTCACCACAAAACTGCTGTCGCAAATGATCGAGCGTTCTGAAAGAAATCATTTCAACTAAAATTCCACATCGCCAGTTCCCATGGTGAATGTTCCAAGAATTGCTTTCCCTCTAAAATCCTCACGACATCTACACATACAAGCAAGGGCCCCGGCCTTTATCAATCCCGTCAGCTCCAACACATCGTTCGAACCTCCGCTGACGATGATGGGTGACTCTGACACTGAGGGCAGATATTACTCGCGAAGACATTTCGGATAAGCAGAGCTCGGAGTCGCAAACACAGTCAGCCGGAGCGCTTACTGTCGTAATACCACCAATTCTATTGTTTAAAGTGCTTAATACTCTATTTTATCCAGTATACTTGAGCTTTTGCCGAGAGACACTTATTTTAGCGCTGAGTAACACCCTTCTTCGTGGTGTCTGGCCAGATGAGCTGGTAGATGTTGGTTGGCTTATAAGAAGTTTGGTCTGCTTCGAAGAGAGGCACAGCATGGGCCTTGTTATTCTGACATTGTCCATTCAACCTGAATACATGATTTTGTGAAGCATGATGTGAAGTAGGAGAGAGCGTTCATGATAAAAAACCGTGATCAGCAGTGTAGAGCACGCCTGAGGCCAAGCGTTGAAAAATTCTAAATCCTTCGACATGAGCTGGCATGAGATTTCGTGATGTTGACAGTTTACTAATCCAATGGTAACTCGATGGCTGCGAACAATAAACATGCTATTATAGAACATCTGTCAGTGACTTTGTAGCGCTGCTTGACAGCATCTTGATCTAAACACTGATACGAAAACCGAAATCCGCGGATTTCAACCTATGTATACAATTCCAGCTAGATACAGCTAGCATGAGCGCCGTACCATCCCTCACACAGCCCAGCCCAGACCTATAACGATACACATGCTGTCAAAAACGCTTAAACAGCGCTGTATCCTCCTCGACTTCCTGTTCCCTGTACGGTGTTGAGAACACGACGGATCCAGTCCTTAAGTAGGTAAGGAATGTCGCGGATGGTGTCGCTGTGGGGAAGAAGATCCCAGCCGCGGGCGCCGTAGCGTGTAAAGTTGATCCAGGATGAGAAGATGAGGTAGCCAGCGATGCCCAAGAAGGCACTAAATGTGTTAGGAAATCATCATAGAAGCTGATTAGGGGTACTCACATAATGATGAACCAGGTGAAGAAGCCCCAGTGGGAGCTTGAGCTGTCATCATCACCACTGCCACCGTTGTCCTCTGGCTTTTCGCAAGCATACTTAGTATACCACGTCAAGCGCAAAACCCTGGCCTTCTCCTCAACGTCAAAGCTATCCCAGATAAGCGAAGCATTGTCATGCTTCAGTTGGTGCTCAATCATAGACTCGCCCTCATCCTTATCATCACCATCCCCTTCCTTCTTATCGTCGTCGGCTCGCTTCTCGTACTGCTCTGAAGTAACCCACTCGCCCTCTGTCCCTTCTTTCTTAGGATCGCACAGGAACTCGATGATGGCCTTTTGCTCGGTCTTCTTGATATCGCCCTTGAGAGGATCTCTGCCTCCTGTGAGGACTAGTCGCACGCCCTCTTTATCCTTATCGGAAGTAGAGTCGCTCGTCTTGAGTCGCGTAGGCGTAGCTTCGAATCGAGAGCCGCCGACGTTTTCGAGGTTTCCTGCGATCGCGATGACATCCGTAATCTCATCCGTGTCCTTCTCGCCAGACTTGAGAAAGTGTGTAATACCGCAAACTGTACTTGTTAGCTAGACTCGATTGGCATTGGTAGATTTTGTGCATACCTCGTGTTCCATTTGGACATTCTTCGTCTTTCTTGCCACCCTTCTTCTTCAAAGGCTTGCAGATATCTAATGTATAAGTTGTGTTATAATGTTCGGGAGGACTAGGCTTGAACCGCGTCGTCACGACCGAGTGAGGCCCACCAAGCTTAGAAAGATCGAAAGTATGTCCATCAGCGCGAATCTTTCCGCAGTCCAGAGTCTCAGCCGCAAAAGCTGGGGCCGCCAGCAAAGGCAGTAGAAAAGCCAATAGATCCGGCCGATGCATTGAGAAGACTTTGATAGAAGATCGAAGAAAGTTGATAAACGACGGTTGCTAGACGATAGTAGCGAGATGAAATTACGGATGAAGTGGTAGTATCAGAGAATGGCGACCGACTTAAACGAACGAAGAGACTCGATAGAATAGATTATGAGCGCGTGCCTAGAACAAGCAAGCTGTGCTGTGCTGTGTGATGTGATGGATTGGTCACGTTGCCTTGAGCTATCGCGGGTTTGCTTAGCGTCATATGAAGCTCCTATCGTCTTGGCGGTTGTGTCATTCCGCGTAAGGTAGAAACCCAGTTTCACAAGCACGTGACAGTCTTCAGAACTCACAAGTCACCCAAACGCCATACACCAACACCCCACGATATGGATGCATGTTACAACGGCTAAACCACATGGCAAACGCATCATAATCCTGGGGTAATACTATTCTTTCTTTTTTTCTTATTTATTCATGGTTGATTCTCGGGCTTCGTAAAAGAGATGATGATATAACAGACCACCTCTAATAATGATACAGTCAATACTTTCTTCCAACCTGTAACACCAAGAACAGCGAAATCCATCACTGCATTACCTTGTCCAGAACAAAACAGCCAAACGCATAAGACAGCCTCGATAAAACCCTTGAGCCCGAGTTGAAAACTTTCCGTGGGGTATAAATCTGCCCAAACTCATAAACCGTGTAAAAATAGCATGCTGGTCCAACCTGAACTCCTTTGATCGACCACCTGGTTCCAATCCTCTGCTCCTGTCTGCCGTGACATTAATTCTGTCCATTATTATCTTGTCAGGTCTCGTTCGCGATATCACATTCCCTGGGGACCACCCATCATTCCATTCATCCCCTGCATTTGCTGCTGCATCTGTTGCTGCAACTGCTGCTGTTGCATCTGTTGTTGCTGTTGTTGCTGCTGCTGCTGCATCATCATCTGTTGTTGCTGTCGCCGCTGTGCCATGGAAGCTTGCATAAAGGTTTGAGCTTGCGCCATGCTCTGCGCCTTCATCTTATCGAGCACTTCTTGCGGGATGTGGTCTTGACCACCATACTTCTGAGCTATCGTTGGTAACATCCTATTAAAAAGTGACCTGGCTTGTTGGTGCAGTTGCGCCTGAATTGGGTTTTGTTGCCCCATCTGCCCCATCTGCCCCATCTGCCCCATTTGTTGTTGAGCCTGTTGCTGCTGTTGCTGTTGCTGGGCTTGTTGCTGCTGTTGGGGACTCATCATGTTACCCTGCTGTTGGGCTTGCTGCTGCTGCCTTTGCTGCTGCATCGCCTGGAAAGCTTGCAGGTTCATACCGTTATTCATCATCTGCCCGCTGACTTGACGCTGCATAGGACTATTGCCCATCTGACCATTCAGTTGGTTCATGCGCATCATCTGTTGCAACTGTGCCTGCATTTGAGGGGTGAATTGTCGCATCTGGTTGCCCGACATGTTCTGCATTTGCTGGGCATATTGGGCCGCGATCTGCTGCTGCTGTTGCTGCTGTTGAGGGCTCATCATGTTACCCTGCTGTTGGGCTTGTTGCTGAGCAATCAATTGCCTTTGCATCGCTTGCATCATCTGCTGCTGCTGAGGGCTCATCTGGCTCATGTTGCCGCCGCTAATACCATTTTGCATGGCCATCTGCTGCTGTTGCTGTACAGCACGTTGTTGCGCCAATTGAGCCGCGTATTGTGGGTTCATTTGGTTCATGCCCTGGCCATTCATCATCATGCCTTGACCAGGCTGCGAGTTCTGGGCCATCATAGCCGGTGGGGGGCTTGCCTGGCTCATGCGAGGAGTTGCCACCATGGCTGGCCTGTTGATGGGAGTACCCTGTGCCATGTTGGGCGTTGAATGAGGCATTCTTGGGGTACCAGAGGGATGACTCTGTTGACTACCCCTAGAAGACATGTTGTGAGCCATTGGGACAGACATAGCTGCGGGGTTTTGGACGACAGAAGACGGCCTGGGGGGGCTGTTTGCCATGCCAGAGTTGGTCTGCTGCATTGGGACGCTACCGACCATAGGGGATGACATATGCTGAGGGGTACCTTGGTGAGCAACTGGAGAAGACGCTGGTGGTTGAGTGATCTGAGCCTGGAAGCGGGGTTGTGCTTGCGGAGGCATATTGTTAGCCATTTGGGGGGTTCCCACAGCTGCGTTATTGACTCCGTTGGTGGCAACATTGTTTTGAGGATGGCCGTGCTGTGGTTGGGTCCCGTTAACCCTCTGAGCATTTTGGTTGGTCTGGTTGGCCTGATTCGCGGCTTGGGCACGAGCTTGGGCTTGTCGTTGAGCTTCAGCCTGTCGCATCTGGGCTTCTCTCGCAGCAGCCTCCCGTCGGAGTCTTTCTTGTTCGGCATTTTGCTTCTGAGCCAACGCGACCGCATCTTGCTGCTGTTGCTGTTTCGCTTGTTGCAATTTCCTGTCATTCTCCAGCTGCTTGAGCTTCTCTTGTTCCTTCTTCTCGGCATGTTCTCGACTGATGTCAGCCAAAACCTTGAATCGTTCGAATCGAGGCTCGAATGCTGATGCACCGCCTGAGGCATCGCCATCTGCTGCACCACCATTCTGCGCTCCATTTGCATTTGGTGCAAGACGCTCGTCGGCAACCAGCATGAAGCGTTCCGTCTCTGCAGCAGCGGCTTCGTCCGCAGCCATCTCGGCAACAGTTCGCTTCCGTGTTTTGGGCTGAGGAGGAGCCTCTGCATGCTTGGGGTGGCTCATTGCCTCCATGAGGATAATTGTTTCCTCAACATTCTTCGTAGGTTCAAGCACCAATGGCGCGTTTGTCGCCAACAGGATCTGTCCCTCTGCAGCATGAATATTGCTGCCGTCAAGCTCTGTCTTTTCACGCTTCTGGCGCTTTGCTGGGGGCGGCATGCTGCCAGCTGTAGGTGTCGGAGGAATAAGAGGCATTGGCGTTGAGGGGGGTTGGCCAAGGCCATCACTCAGTCCTCGGGGGGTAGAAGCCTTTATTAACAGGTCCATCTGTAAACTTTCGGGCGTCGGATGGAGTACCATAGTAAAGACCCGTGGCTTTGTCGCTCTGTCTTTCTGCTCCTCCGGTGCTGGCATGACAGGAGCATTTTCCTTCTCAGCCACATCATTGGCTTTTGAGCTTCCATCGCCATTTGACAAACTCTCTTTAGGGAAAGGAACATTCGGCGATGGTGTAAGACATTGGTTGTAGTTATGAATGGATGATGGCATCACGGAGCCCTTTCCTTTTGTGGGTTTGGCAACATTCTTCGCTTGCGCAAGAGACTTGTGGTCGTGAACTTGAACAATGAGACATCCATCATAGAATGGTACACCAGCTTCGGTGAAGTACGAAAGAAGATCATGAGGGATCGTCCGGCTTCTGACGTGGTCGAGGAATATTTTCATCGGTGACTTGTATGGAAACACGCCATCTTGGTTATCGAATCGGAAATGTGTTGTGTGTAGATGACAGACAAGAGAAGGAGGTCGGCCGGCAAACTTATTCAAGATGTAGGAATCTGTGACAACTTCATTACTGTTAGTGTGTGCGCATCAATATGATAGGTCAGAACATCGCATACTGTAGGGTCGAGGCTCCGCGTCATGACTGGAGTGGTCTGCCGCTAATGACGCTGATCGTAGGCCAGCACTGTTCCTAGAGTGCCGACCTTGCAACTGCGATGCGGTTTCTCGTCGGGCTCTGTTGACAGGTCGGACGGTTGATGCGGTAATAGCCCTGTCGCTCGCCGAGTGCGGCGGCTGCTTGGCACTCGGCGGAGGTTTCTTTGCTGACATTGATGGAGATGGTGATGATTTTGAGGAGGTTATAGCGCCATTCGTCTGGATGCCAGGAGGGACTGGACGCTTCACTTTGTTGGCGACATTTTGATGGACTATAGGTCCAACTGGCGCCATCGTGTTGTGGTCGCGCTGCGCCGCGGGGGCTAGCGATTATGACGATATCTCGGCCGATGTGGTCCGCTCGACTTTGATGAAATATTTGTTTAGGTCGCAAACATGGATATAATAAACGCAACGGCACGATGCCGGATCCGAAGTCGGTTTGATAAGAATGGATTGATCGCACGTCGACTTGATGGATGGTGCGGAGTTGGCCGCGGTAGTCTCACGTTAGGGGCGCGAGTATCTCAAAGAACCGCAAATCGAGAATAAAGAGAATGGTCCATGAGAGTTTGATGAAAGAAAATAGACCCGTCAATTTCCTTGTTGAACTCGTTGCGTTGTCTCTGGAGTGGGATATCAATTCGATGATGGTTCACGCCTTGTCGCCGTATCACGGGTGCATTCCCTTGGATGAGGTCGGCTGGATTACGGAAGAAAGCGTCACGTGATTTGACTTGGAACAGCGCATCGCAAAAGGCATAGAAGGTTCGTACACAAATTCAATATCTTTCAAATGATGTAGATAAAATCATTGAATAAATACACGCGTACTCGTGTCTGTAAATAACCCTTAACAGCATATACTAAAGTCCAAAGCTTGGTATCTCGTGCCAGATTCCGCAAGACGCGTTAGTCTCACTCCTGGCCCTGAACTCGACGCGCCCAATCATCATTCAGCCTCATACTATCAACAACCACAACTCCACGTCCTCGTCCAACTCTTTCAGGGCGCTGCCACCATTCTTGGCTCTTCCCAGCCCTCTCAGCTTCAGATTCACTATCTGCCAATCCACCAGAACCACCATCAGCACCAACAACCAGAATGACGTCATGTCGAAGCCAGGTCTGGAGGGTGGTGATGATGCTGCCATCTTGACCAGACAGAGCTTTCTGGAGATAGATGACTTCTGGTTGGAGGTGTCGCAGAATATGAACGTGACCGTTTGGTGTAGTGAAAGGGAGAACCATTGTCTCCTTTTCAACCAAGCTTAGAGCCTGTGAGTAGATGGAGTTAAAAGAAGGGCTTGCGGATTCACTACGACTTGTCAGCCACAATACATTTCAACAACGCAAGTAAAGCATACAGCTGGTTCTTGGACTCTTCAGCTGGGGTTTGAACTTGATCGTGTCCAATGTTAGAAAATGAGGAGCTCAGCGAAGTTGGCGGAAGGTTACTAGTAGCAGTATCCATAGTAGGTTCCTTCAAACCCGGAGCGTAAATCAAAACAAATAGCTTAACCTTGGAGTGATCGATGTTTCGAGGGATGTGGGAGAGGATAGACTGTACCATGTTAGTGTGCGATCTCCGAGAACAATGATATCAACTTACGGCGTGCTCGTGGAACGAATCCTCCTCTTCAGGCACGGCGCCTGTCTCGGCAGACACCACAATCGCAACCGTCTTGCGTCGCCTATTGCCGCCGACGAGTGGTGACGATGTATCGGCGGGCGCTCGTTCTTTCTTAGCATCTGCTTCCTCTTGCCAGGGGTTGGTATCGTCAAAGGGGCTCTTGTCCTCCTCGCGAATGCTAGCCAAAGCCTTGCCCATAGCTGCACTCGCAGCTGCGACACCAGCCGCCACAGTCTTACCTGTCGAGTCAAAGAACTGCTGCGGGCTCGGTGTTCGCCGTAGAGCACCAGACATGCGCGAGCCCCAGCCTCCGCCGGCCGCATCTTCGTCCGCGGGCGCAATTCCATGGCTCTGGCCATCAGGCCGTGGTGGTTGCTCGGGGCCTTGAATATCGCGCGAATTGATATCTCGGGAACCGTGGGGTTGGTTATCACCTGCGCGAGCTTGATTGCCGTAGTCTAAGCCGTAGTGGTCCTCTTCGTCATCTCCGTCTTTGCGCTGGCTCCAAACCCAAGCAGCTACGCCTACAGTAGCAACTGTGAGTGTGACTGCGAGAGGGACCCAGTGGCTCCAAACTCCCCGTCGCGACCGCGACGATCCGTGATCGGGCGACATTTACGCGGCGCACTGTCGCATTGCTAGGTGGAGGTGATGACGCCAATGGCAGCAGGCGCAAAGGGCCTTTTCGTACAATTCGAGTGTCGTGAGTATGTAACTCTTCAGCAATTGCGTGATATTGGCGCAGCCGTTAAAGTAGCGAGGTCTGGGGCCAGATCCGATTCTTGTCGATACGCGGTGGTTGGTGTAATTGGCATCAACAAGCCAGTGGAGCTGAGGCCATCTGCCCCCAGCAACAACGGGGTCAGCAACCCGAGGGCCGACAAAGAGGTCAGCGTTTCAGGGGCTCATTTGCGGGGGACTATCCAATAATCCGTACCGAGGTCGGGTTCAAACCGTCCACGTGAATTCTAGTGGGAGAGATCTGTGGCTGTGTATTTCTACAGCCACAATTGCAGCCACAGGCGGGACAACACCCCACGAACGTACATTTTTGATGTCTTGGCAACGGATTTGAGTGACTCTTCACTTCATATTTGACTTCATACAGCAACGACGGCCCTCGCGTTGGCATTAACAGACCAACCCACACACTGAGGCCACAGCGAACTTTTACCGAACATTGGTTTTATCCTAGATCTTTCACGTCTGCATCACCAAATCAACAAGGAACCCCGTGGTGTTATGCCCCACGCTGTATCAATGCCTTCAACTGGGCTTCAAGCCCTTATTCTCTGCGGGCCTGGCTCGTCATTCCCGACATTCACCTCTAACCCCGATGAGAGCCCCAAGGCCCTTCTCCCTATTGCAAACCGACCTATGGTCTGGTACGCACTTGATTTCTGCTATCGAACGGGCATTACAGGTCAGTGAAGCCTGATGCTATAGGGTGACTCATTGAGTATATTCGCAGACAACTCATCACTCTCAAGTTGTAAATGAATACATACTGACAACTGCTAGACATAAACCTTGTCTGTCCTCCTACAGCATCTGAGGCTATCTCAACTGCTCTGAACACTAACCCTCATCTAACTGCGCTGCCTTTGCCGCGACCCGACATTCTCTCGCCAGTAGACCTTGATCAAAACACAGGCACTGCTGAGATCCTGCGGCTACCAGAGATTAGGAAAATTATCACTGGTGACTTCGTCGTACTCCCTTGTGACTTGGTCTGCGAACTAGGAGGAGACAAGCTTCTACAATCATGGATGGTAAAGTCAGCTAGTCTGACAGACATGCTAGGAACTGCCAGGCTGTCTAATGGCCATCGATCACTTCACAGCGGCGCACTTGGCGTCTGGTATGACACAAAGGCAGTTGCACCTGTCAAGAAGGAGGAGACAGACTTTATTGCGACAACCCCATTGCCTTCATCTCCTGTCACGCCATCAAAGGGGTCTCTATTCTCAAACTTGTCAAAGCTGGTGTACTCCATGCCAACCGACTCTTTGAGAGATTTGACAGAAGATAAAGGTTCACTTCCAATCCGTCACGGCTTGTTGCGTGCCCATTCTCGCGTACGGATGTTCACCACACACCGAGATGCTCACATCTACATCTTCCCTCGATGGGTTCTCGATTTTGTCAAGGATAACGAGCGAATGGAGAGTATTGGTGAGGATGTTGTCGGATGGTGGGCGAAGGCAGGCTGGCAATCCGGTCTTGCCGAGAAGTTGAATCTGGAGAGTGCTTGTGCACAAGGCCGAATTGAGGAGGCCGACGAGGATGGACGACAAAGCTCGCCCTCCAGAGTTTCCACTCCAGAGAACATCCAGAGTGATCGGAACGCTTACGGTGATGACACGACTGCCGAGACATCAGTGCCGAGTATTGCAGTTGATGACGAACCATCAGCTGCCGAGAAGTCGACATCGTTCCAAGTCCCGCCGATCGTTGCCTATGTTCACCCGGGCGGGAGCTCAGCTCCTTTGATTCGTCGTGTCGACACGGCACAATTGCTGCTCGCTATTTCACTTCAGCTGGCCAAGCTTCCATCACACGAAGAGACAGGCGGAGAATCAGCATCACCATATGCACATGCAAAGAAGATCGCTTACCCTGAAGGTGTTAAAGCACGCACGACAATCACACAAAAGGACAGCCTCATTGCGGAGAATGTCACAGTTGAGGAGAAGACCTCTATCAAAGAAACTGTGATCGGCGCCGGTTCGCAGATCAACGAGGGTGCCAAGCTCTCTCAGTGTCTGCTTATGGAAGGAGTTGTTGTTGGAAAGGCATGCAAGTTGACGCGTTGCATCATTGGAAAGAGAGCTGTCATTGGAGATGGATCTGTTTTGACTGACTGTGAGGTTCAAGAGAATCTGCTCGTTGAAGCTCGAAGTGAGTTCCCGTTTCCCTACCCTAGAGGTGATCGTCACGCTAACCACCCACCCCTGCACAGCTGAGGACAAGGACAACAAGCTCATGAGCTCTGAGGGCTTAGAGGCCACAGAAGCTGAGATGGAGGAAGTCCTCCAGGACATGGAAGCTGACGCCGAGCAAGCAGTGATGGATTAACTTAGAATCTTAGATGTAACCATAAACGGAGAAGCATTCAATAGAGCTCTTCGCTTGTTTGTTTCGACCCAACTCTGCTATTGCCCGCACTCCCAATATCACCACTATGGTTGCATTTCACGTGTGGTGTTGAATGTTCGAGACTTTTCCTTACTTACGTATGGTAGTATCGAGCCCCAGTACGCCTAAGCCAAATGGATGCCCGTCAAAGTGCCATCGCCACCTGGGGAATACGATACGTTGGAATTGTTTCACAGGCGAATGCTAAATTCAATATCGCTTGACGGGAAACGTCTGACTTGAGACCCACGATGTCACCTACCAACCGTGCCGAGCCATCCTTCGCAGTCACAGGCAGCTTACCAACATGTCTCGCTTCACATTCATCCGAACAGCAGCTCTGCAAGGAGAGCATTGTCGATCGAGAAATCGTACGATTTTGCACTTTGGGGTGTTTCTTACCAAGAACTTTGGGATATCTCTTTCTCGATAGTAAAAACACTAGGGGTGAAGCGCTGTCGAGGTTGGGGATAAGATCGACGATCGCGAGACGGGACGAAACTAATGCGCGGTCACCCTAATCAGGTCACTCAAGTCATTGAGGGCGTGTTCAGATATCGTCCCTCTCTCTCTCTGCGCTTTGACGATATAGCTGATTTTCCCTAGATCAGTAATAGCATCACAAAGTTGTCACTCTTGGCTCGCTTCCCTTCTACGCGTAAGCGCGCGTGGGCCTGTCTAGGGAATTTGGAACCGAACCACCACGGGTACTCCAGCCTTGCAGTGACATTCTAAACGTAATACTATCGCAAGAGCCACTTTGCGGGCGTGGGCAGTGACCGGCTGACCGCGTACTCTCGTCAAGGCTGGAGTGACAGCTTGTCGTAAAGCCTGAGAGTGTTCCGCTCCCACCGAAGATCGAGAGAATATACTGAGATCGAAAGCTGAAGGAG